CGTGAGTTCCAATCATTGCGTTTGTGAAATTGGCCAGCCTTTTGGCAAGGCCATGCCAGATTGGATGTCAACCATCATAGATAAAAACACCCTTGGTCAAGATGATCTGAACAAATTGATAGTTTCAAATTGACCGAATTGTGATTGCACCTGACGCATGAGCATCCGAACCTTCTACGCCATCAACACAGTTCTCATGTTTTTAATCATGTGGTGTGGTGAACAGTCACGAGAGTGTTTGAGGAAGGTACTGATACATTCTTCAAGGAAGACATTAGACAGACCTGGCCGAACTGATAAAAAATCAGAAATATCTTTCTCACGTTTCATTATACGAATCAAATACTAGATAAAAGTAGACATTATGTTTATTGTATAAGAGTGAGTGAGAGTGAATTAATATTTAACGTCACATCGGCAATATCTCAGCCATATCGTGACGAGTATTATATAAGACGTCGTGGAAGCGTATCTGAACTTCTTCACAGTTGTCGTAATCGAACATTCACTGTATGTTGTTGGTTCATGTCTTGATTATTTGGTCGGTTTACTGGATGCAGTCTCAGGAGTTCTGCTGTGTGGCCACCGGCTGTACATTACCTGTTACACAAGGTAAATTGTGTGAATGATGGATGCACCCTGTGTGGCAGGACATACTTACCCTTTTCGCGAACACCTGGAGTCATGGCTGATTTTCAGTGATCCATTGATAGCAGTTTGTCCATTACACCACCTGGAATTTGTTTATGAGTGTAGCCACGACTGGGTAAGGCTAAACTGGGGATCGACTGGTCGCGGCGGGTCATTAATGCATGTGTTGATGCCCATCTCTGGTTTGTATGTATGAATATATGAATATATATAATATATATGGATTGTCGTGGCACTTCTCCCTGAAGATAAAAGTGAAACATGTTGGAGAAGATCCGTGTCGGGTGATTATTTCAGAAACTTCTTCTTATATATGTACTACTGTACGCTCGGTATTCTCATCACTTTCTTTATATATATATATATATATATATATATATATATATATATAATATATATATAATATATAAAAATTAAAAAAAAAAAAGGCATTCTGTTTTTATTTATCTATGCAATATTTATGACTGAACACCTGTACTACTTTGGACATTTTGTGCGTTTATATATATATATATATATATATATATATAGAGAGAGAGAGAGAGAGAGAGAGAGAGAGAGAGAGAGAGAGAGAGAGAGAGAGAGAGAGAGAGAGAGAGAGAGAGAGAGAGAGAGAGAGAGAGAGAGCACATATCCACGCACTAGTGCATGCTCAAGGCGCTGGTATTTTTCCCTCGATCATTGGATGTCAATCTCAACAGCACATCGCATTATCAATCTCAACTCCCTGGGGAGTATACAACTGTTGCGTTATTGTGGCTTTCTCATCCTAACGAGGTACCCATTCACAGCTGGGTGGACTGGGACACATAGTCACAGTACTTTGTCCATGTTCACTGCACGTTTCTGTACCCGCAACTAGGTGTTTGCACGTATTCATGTGGCCACCATCTGGTCATATACCAACGGATTCGTGGGTTCTTTTAAGTGCACAGGGTTGTGTACTGTACACTAGGAAAGACTGAAAGAGTCTGCACACATATGAATATATATGAATACATGCATATGAATGGCTGTCATATAGCTAAACTATTGATGAGTGAGGCGCGAAGCAACAAACGGAATGGCTGACATCACGTCAAAACCCTGCACGTCGAGTCGTTTTCTGTGAGTAAATTCTTTTAAGACATTTGTTAACACTGAGTGAGATGTACGAATATACACTGACAGTTTTTAACAATATTCTATCAATATCACGTGGTACACCAGAACTGGGCGGGCATCTGCCATAGATTGCACCAACGTGATGAAATCTTCAGGGTGACGAGCGAATGCTTTAACCACTAGACTACCCCATTGATTATCTGGAAAACTACAGGTTAATGTCACACTTGAAAACCTCAGAAAGCGGCAATCACAGATCTCAACGTACATATTCTCTCTGAGACCCGTGAAGGTCCGGGTTAGAATGAACCTTCAGTAACCCTTGCTTGTCGTAAGAGGCGACTAACGGGATCGGGTGGTCAGGCTCGCTGGCTTGGTTGACACATGTCATCGGTTCCCATTTGCGCAGATCGATGCTCATGCTGTTGATCACTGGATTGTCTTGTCCAGACTCGATTATTTACAAACCGCCGCCATATAGCTGGAATATTGCTGAGTGCGGCGTAAAACTAAACTCACTCACTCAGGGGTGGCCCCTTTACAACATTAAACCAAGGTAAAAGACACGCAGTTTATGTACAACAGAACTAGCGCGTAGAATAACTGTTTATTTTGCAAAATAATAATACATATTTGAGGTAAATAAGGAAGAAATGTAAACATGATTCATGATGTGGTAAATGGATAACAATTTCCATGAAGAGATGAGACAATATTTGTGCTCTCTGATGCTGTTATAATGCACTATCCTACATTCGCCATAAAGAACATTGCGACATGTACACCCTATTCTTATTATGTAATCAAACAGCCGTCCATTCAACAAGATACGTGGTACCCATCAATATGACGTTGAACAAGCCACGTGCGTGATGGTGCATGGCCAGGACGCCAGACACAGACGTTTAGAATTTATCCTGTTCTTGAGGCCCACGGGCTGATATAAAACAGGATGAACAATGTGATTACATGTGCCTGCTTAAAAAGTGGCTGGAGTAACAGTCTCGTATGAGCAACAAGAGTCCAGCAGTCGCCCACCCGCTTTGACTATAGTCAATCTAGACTCTGATGACGACACTGACACTGGTAGCTTTGATTTTGAAGCGGGATTGTCTGACGGTGACTAACGTAAGTGTTATTATTCTTTAATGTTTTTGAGACGTTCCCTTGATATACATGTGAACTTGAAGCCCACGCTGCTGTGACCCGAGGTCATGCACGTGAATAGCGCCCTGACTTGACCCTTAAGCTGTTATGTTTACTGTGACTATGCCCCGTCTCTTGACGCCAAAACAAACAGAAATCTTAATGATAGTTACTTAAGTAACTTTTTCACCAAGTGACCAACGAAGTTAAAACTATTTTTTCTTACTACGTCAAAGGGGAGATATACATTACTGGCATGAGGTCAGTTGATGTTATTTGGAAGATATTTTACAAAAGGGGTGTCCCAAAACTTGGGTTGACAGACTATAAAGTCCATGTAATCGTCAGAAACCAATTAGCGTTGAACAGGAGGCAAACCAGTCTGGAATATAGGCCCTGGTATGCAAATTTTGTATCCGCGAAGTACAAAACTATCCATATTGAAATACTGTCAAAGTTAAAGTCTTGTTGCATTTTAAAGTTTCAGTGATATATGTTCAGATTCTTGTCCTCACACGTTTGCAACGATTTTTCTCAGACATTGAATCTTGTGCATAATGTCCGATGACATTTACAAAGTCCTCACGGGGTAGGGAATAGCTGCCATATATGAATTATACAACAATCTTCCACATAACTAGCACACTGAACAGAGACCTTCTTTAAATGGTATCTTTGTACGGCCGTCACATTCAACTGCAAATCTGAAAAATCTAATTGAAGCTTCTATTCAGAGTGTTTTAGCAAAGCTTTGCTTCATTGCTTTTGTGTTATTTATTTATCATCAAATTAATATCAAAACGTTCCGAAGGCACTATAATGGTTTTCTTAAGCCAGTTGTCCCCAGATCTAACCTCTCACTGATGTAATCACCCATTGGATATGATATATTGACGAAATGAGAAAACCTTACGTTTACAATACATCAGAGAAATTAATTTCTATAGTGTATGTTCGGGACTAATGGCAGCGCACACTACGTTGGTGAGAAATGTGTCAAAACGGGCTAATATTAAAGATGGTCAGGAAGCGAAGTTTAAAATGAGCGAGGCTTTGACACAGGTGTATTTTCTTACGAGGTGTAGATTAAAATAGTTGCAACGTGTGATGCGATAAACTGACAACGAAAGAAAGTAGGCACTTTGTTCTGAGAGATTATTTTTCAACACATGCACAACGTTGGTTACTTTTAAGTCACAATCAAAACATGTTTCACGTAGATAATTGTTGTTTTTTTAACAACCCGAAAGCACTACTTGTGTACATTCTTTTGTACGCCAGTTTCGAAATCATCGGAGAAAAACTTACAACATATAAATCGTCTTTTTCACTCCTTTAGCGTTGGCCATGTCAGAAGCCTCACAAGTGAAAGTTTAAGACGGAAAAGCACTGAGTTGAGTCACCTGAACGTGTCTGATAATTTTCAAAGGTTTCTGCAACTAGAATAAGACACTTTGAGTGGGCTAAAAAGTGCGTTTTCTTTGCGCTAACGGTCGATGGTTTCATTCTGTACTACGAATAGCATGTGTATAGATGCATGTCTGTCATGGTGAATTGAGCATCGGATGAACAATTTCTGACAAGTGAAATATGTTAGGTTAAACTGTAAACATGAATGATAAATGAAATGTGCTAGGTTTAAACGGTGAACATGAGTAATAAATGAAACGTGCCAGCTTAACATGAAACAATCAAACATCAGCATGATGGGTACCCGTGAGGAATATAGATATACCAGAACAGTGGAGAGTATCTTTTTCCAATTCCATATATACATAATCAAGTATAAGCTTTCTCTCTCATTGTCTCTCTTTCTCCCTGTATCAGTCTCTCTCTCTCCCTTTTTTTCTCATACTCTCTCTCTCCCTCCCTCCCTCTCTCTAACAATGCAATATATGACGAAAAAGTATTTTTCCATAACAACGCACTTCAAACTAATAGTTATGCTGAATTTGAAGGCTTACGTGGATATACTGCGACATTGGAACTCTAAGCTTTCTATTTGCTTACCCATTTCGTCAAGTCTCTCAACCCCGAATGAAACAATTCTGTACAGATAAATGTCACAAACTTGATACTCCAGACCTTCCGAATGGTCACTAAGGGGGTGACCCCGCCACAGATGTTTGTTTTGTGGGTTCGTCTCGTGGAGACAATTGTCCATTCACTTCCTCGTTTAAAGGCTCTGATACGTCACACTTCTTGATGAGTTTATTTTTCAAAATGGATTTCTTTTTATGACCAGTCAATCTTTCATTTCCATGACGATAATTCCTAAGGCACTGCATCTGAAATACAAAGTACAGTTTAATATATACTTTCTCGTTCTATAGCGAAAACATGCACAATTATTAACAGAGAATATCATACGAACATGTGTGTCAAAATGATTTTAGTGAAGTCTTTTCTCAGTATTCTGAACAATTTGAATAATTGAAGGTCCGGGTTAACATTGGTCATCAACAACTCATGCTTGTCTTAGAAGGCGACTATCGTAATTGGGTGGACAGTATCGCAGACAAATGTCATCAATTTGCGTAGATCGATACTCATAATGTTGATCACTGGCTTATCTGGTCCAGACTCGCTTACTTACAGACCGCCGCCATATAGCTGGAATGTTGTTAGTGCGGCGTCATCTCAATATTTGAATGCCATTCAAAACGATGACATGCAAACACTGATCAGTAATCGTTTCTCAAAACACTGATGAACAAATGCTCATAAGTTAATGCATTAACATATTCTTTTGACAAGAGGACAACTGGAAATATGGAGAAACAAATACTGATCGGTCTACGCATAGCATACGCTGATCAGCATTTATTTCCCTGCGTGTAGAACAAGAACATAAACGAAGCGTTCATAAAATTACTTTTCAAGTGATTTTCATTTCTTCATCGGACCACCGAATAAACAATCGCAGTTTGATTCACAGCTTGGTCGCGATGAGGCATTTGTTTAGCTGGTCGTGATCATCCGGTCTTTCAACCTGTTTGACAGTACCGATCAGTGATGGACGTCTGTATTTCTCTTACTTCATCAGGACAAACATTTCTGTCATCCATAAGAAATTCGCGTTCAAGCAGGGTCGATTGTACAATTCTGACTAAATCCTAGAGAAAACTGACTGACTGACTGAATTTGGTTTTACGCCGCTTTTAGCAATATTCCAGCAACATCACGGCGGGGGACACCAGAAATGGGCTTCACACATTGTACCCATGTGGGGATTCGAACCCGGGTCTTCGGCGTGACAAGCCAACGCTTTAACCACTACGCTACCCCACCGCCCTCCTATAGAAGAAGCATCATGGGTTGAACAAATTACTTTATACTGTACAGAGGTCAATGACCTAAATAACCTGCGGCTATTATATTCTCTAGCTTCAGAATATGTTTTGAGTGTTTTGGGAGAGTTTGTTTGTGAGTTTGTCCTGCCTGTTGAATTGTAAAGCGCCTGCTGATACCAGCCATGTACCCTGGCCATGCAGCAAATATGAAAAACCTGAAAGTTGTTTTTCACATTTTAAGGAGCTTAAGGGCAATGGACATGACTCTTCTGCCACAGTGATGGAAGTGTTCTCTTGTAACGACTCCCAGAAGGTGGTTGTGATGCTTCAAAGCATTGCGGGGGCCTAGTATCACAGTGACCGGGTGATACAGCAGAGAAGATGAAGCCAAACCAGCAGCCATGTGTCTTACATGGTATGTAACACATTTGCCCCTTCCACACAGAACGCAGACACGTCTACTTGTGTTTATGATGCTATGGGGAGGAAATGCTGATCTGTACCGATGGCGCTTGTTTCAGATAATGTGATACCCATTGCATTCAGTGCTCGATAGGATGCCTCTGTTTGAGGTGAAGTGAGAGAGTGAATGTTGAAAGCCACACAGTAACACCACGACCTGTACATTTTCCAGTTTGGACCAGACAAACCATTTGTTGAAACAGCGAGACACACCGACGACGATCAATGGCGTCATGAAATCACCTTCTAAAGGAGGTTAAATTTAATTCTACCGCATCCTGATTCATCGGGTATCATGGATGGTGTTTATGAAACCATCTATATTTTTCGTCCAATATCTGTATCTACACTTCGATATATCCTCACTTCCATGAGTCAAGTCAATCAGGAGCTCAACGTAATCAAACAATCTCCTCAGTCCTATTTCATAAGGTGAACATACCGGAGAAATATCCACAAGCAACGAGAATGATAATATTATCACCCTAGTAATCATGTAAGTACGAAGACCTTCAACCTTAATTTTCCAGTGAAATTGGATATTCATTATGCTGCATATTAAATACACAATGCCATTTTAGAAAGTGGTCAAATGTAACGTATGTTATATTTGGGATTACACTTTCTTAGTAAAGTACAGATTCTAGTACTTTTTGGGTTGAATCCAATCCGGGATTCGAACCCACACAAAGTCAGACGCCTAGACCGCTCAGCCACCGTGGCTTCCACACAAAATGAGCGGTCTAGGCGTCTGACTTTGCGTGCTGGCGATTAGGTGCCTGACTCTGAGGGTGTGGGTTCGAATCCCGGATTGGACTCAACCCAAAAGAACTAGAATCTGTACTTTACTAAGAAAGTGTAATCCCAAATATAGCATACGTTACATGCTGCATATTACCGAATAGTCATTAATATAATTTTTGTCTCCAAATGAATTATACCTGATCATAAAGAGAGACAATGGCTTATTGATTGTTGTCCCACTTCACATATACAGCATCAAATAGCAAGTTTCGGTGTAGATTGTTTCAAGATGGAAGAAATTAACAGTGATTAATACAAATGTGCGCATGATATAGACGAATCGTACAACTGAGTTTTGATCTGCTTTTAGAAGAATTTACTATAAAAAAATTCTCCTTTACAACAAACTGCTTTTGGCTCTGAAGAAAGTCAAGAATCTGTATTTTAATTTGCTCTTTTTTTGGCCATGGAATTGGTTTTGTCCCTGTTATTAAGATGTAAGGAGTTTAAGATATCGAGTTAACATGAGTTAAGCTAACGAAGTTCGAAGGCGCGAGGTAACAATGTTAACATTTGTTAAAGTTACTGAGGTTCAACGTGAGCTAGGAGGTTCGAGGTATACGTGATTCGAGATTATAGTAGACTCACCTCCATGTCATTCAGGACATGACGCTGACTGACCGACGTCCGGTTTGCCCTGGCACTGGACAAAGACTGTGAAGACTCCTTATTGACCTGTGGTCTCCACACAACGGAAGAAAACTTGGAGAAGAGTTTCTGTTTGAACAGCTTGGTGGTGATTGTATACAGGAGCGGGTTGAGGGCACTGTTCACGGGCAGAACGAACACCACGACCCAGGCGTATAGGTCACCGCTGATCTTTACACCTTCAAAACAATCCACATTAAATTGTTAGCTAACTTTAAACATGCCAATGAAATGGTAAACAACATTTACTAGTCACAGTTCCCTTTCACAGATTTTGTCAAACTGTTGCAACGATGATTGAGTGAGTGAGTTTAGTTTTACGCCGCTTTTAGCAATATTCCATCAATATCACGGCGCGGGACACCACAAAATGGGCTTCACACAATGTACTCACGTGGGGAGTCGGACAGGGTCTTTGGCGTGACGAGCGATCACTTTAACCACTAGGCTACCCCACCGCCCCAGCAATGATTGATAGTTAAAAAGACAAAACCAAATTGACAGTTCTTCAGTTTTCAATTGCATAAAACAAACTCTTTGTAGAATTATATGAATGTATTTTGATGTAGGGGGACACACAAAATTACCAGACTTAGCACTAACTCATTGTGTGGAATCGAACTGGACCTATAGCATGGCGAACGAACGCTTTACCAATTCGACTAACCAAAATCTTACTAATATGGATTTGTATTAAATGATGGTAAGTCTCTTTTCTCTAAACAATATGGGGCGGTGGGGTAGCCTAATGGTTAAAGCGTTCGCTCGTCACGCCGAAACCCGGGTTCGAATCCCCACATGGGTACAATGTGTGAAGCCCATTTCTGGTGTCCCCCGCCGTGATGTTGCTTGAATATTGCTAAAAGCGGCGTAAAACCAAACTCAGTCAGTCAGTCTCTAAACAAAATGAGACATACATGCTTACGTTTAAGTCAAGACATATTTTCAAAAACACTGTTAATGGTTATATTTCAGTCCATCTATTTTAAAACCCGCCCTGTAAATAATTAAGCCTATCTCTGACGCTCGGCCAAGACGTAAATATTAAAAACCAATGCTCTTGAGATGCAATGGTTTCCTAGCAATTAATAAGACTGTTCCACAAAAGGAATAACGTCAACTAAGACAATTTTGCCTGTATGTCGACCGCTATTCCGGCACTGAATATGCATTGTATACTCGTTTGATAGTAACAAATAAACCCATTTAAATAGAAAAGGAGCCCTAGTTAGATGGGAGATACTGAACAAGAGGAAATGTAGACTTGCTTTATTTAGGGCTTTAGTTCAGGGACTGTGAGACATACTATAGCCTTGGTTTTTCGGGGTTTTTTACAATTTACATAACAAAATGTGTGTTTTTCATATTTCCGTGTCTTTGCATGTGTTACTGATGGGTGCAACAGGTAGTGCAGGAACCGCCCCACATGTCCAGGAACACTTTTGTGAAACTAATGTGCACGATTTTCTTGCTGACAGACATTGAAACATTTAGCGTGGGGAATCGGGAATCGAACTAATGGTCACATGTGTCTGGACAGCGATGACAGAGGTGTCCTCTCTGTTCGATAGTGATTCTGGCAGGATGCGATCTAGCCAGAGTCAAATAATAGACAAGAACATCTCATTTTGCTACTGAGTGTGTGAGTGAATAATAGTGACCAGTAGTCTAGAACTTATGTCTCAGGGAACGTAGACGTATATGTATGTATGTACCTGTACGACTGATGTTGCTTTCACGAGTCCGAACTAACACCGGTTTTGTAGTGCAACATGACAAACCCACTCAGACACTCAAAAAGAACATTACAAACTTAACACTCGAAAACAAGTCTCAAGAGTTAGATGTCTCATCATTAACGACAAATACATTCTTCTTGAACACATGTTACAGACACGTACAAAAAGAATATTCACTTGGCATCCCTGCTCATTACCTCCTGGCAGCAGTCCCAAGATTCGCAGTAAGTGTTTCCCCACGCGCGGTGGGGTGATCTGTGCACGGAATGGATTCGACCAGACACACAGTTTTAAGGCAATTTTCGTAATTTTTTAGCACACCACAGCCCAATTCAAGTGTCGCTATTACCCATTTGTTGAGAGTTGAAGCGTCTACGACTCATTAGAAAATAGACCAACAATCTGCGGACGCACATGCAAAATAATTATTTGTAACACACTGATTCCTGCAATAATTTTCTGGCAATGTACTCACTATTGCCAAAGTAATTCTTATAACGGTCTCTTGTATTGTGGTATGAAGTCATAGCGGAACATTTAAAAACATTTGGGAAACACATCCGTGAAGAGGCAAGTGAACTGGAGGGCTTGAAGAATGTCGTAATATTTTGTGTCGTGTTTTTTGTGTCAAGGACATTGATTGATTGAATATTGTATTACGCCGTATTTAGCAATGTCTGAGCAATATCACTGCCGAGGACTTTCGACTTGCACAGTGTACCGAGGTTTTCACCATGACGAGCGAACGCCTGGAGCACCGAATAATCACCAGCCACCAACCATCGGAAAAGTTGGCGATACTATGTTTTATTCATGAAAATCAACAGATGTGCAGTATTCGTCACAGCTTCACAATATTTTCAACATAGAAGGTACATGTGGTTGCAAATCCATTTCTCACCCAAGTCTTGATCACTGCTACCGAATCAATCTCTTTTACACTAAGTTACCCAGCCACGGATTATTTCACAATGTATTTAATACTGTTTCAGTAATGATTAACGGTTAAATAGATAAAACCAAATTTGAGCTCTTAAGTTTTCAATTGCATAAAAACAAACTCATTATATTTTCATTTACTCCTCAATTGAGAAATTCAGTCAGTTGTGCAATTACATGAATGTACATTTTGATGTGTCACATCGAATGGTGCCATGCATGAAATATTTTAAGTGACCATTTTTAAAGTGACTTTCCTCTTCCACTTAACACATGATCGCCTTATCTGCAGCATCATTCTGAAGCGTCTTGTACAGTGTGTCACGTACAAGGCCATTTAATCGAATGAGCATGTGGAACGTGTTTACAGGGAATTGTGCGGGGTTTTACGAGCTTAATTGGTGTGTGAACGACCGTTCATCTCATAACGAATGTAAGAAAATCACCATTACGATTTGAGATGTTAAAAGTGTTTATTGTGAGTGACAGTTGGCTGTTAAACTGTCAAGAGTGAGTTTGTTTGCAAATATTCCAGTAACAGTTTCTCACTATAATGGCGGAACCGTTGAATCGTCGTCATAATATCTAGCACTGAGTGTGGTAGCTAGATGTTTGCCATTTTGGGCTCAACCACCTCTCAGGTTTCTGGCGCCCCGAACACCGCAACACCGAATAGGGAATTTCGACACCTTAAACGTCCGGACCCCCGAACTCCTAACGTCAGGATAAAGTTGCATGAAATGAACTTCATATGCCACGATTCCATTTCTGTTTTGGAATCAGCTGTGCCATAGAGAATAATGAATTAGAATATGCTTCTAATCAGACAGTATGCCGTTTTTACGTCCGAACTGGTCAGTTGATTATGTTTATGATGTAGACAGGTATTTAATAACGACTAATGATGATGATGTTGAGTTTAAACTCTTCTTGAACTGATTAATGTGTGTTCTAGTTAGTAGTAGAGGTGTGACCATACAGAAATTTAACGATACGATACGTATCGCGATATCTTGAAACGATGCGATTCGATTCGATGCATATCATGATATGCTTTCTTTAGTTATTTTCTTTAAAAATCATATGTTAATAGCAAGAAATTTTGACATAACCTTCAATATTTAATGAAAATTAACAATTTTAAGGTCAACGATACATATCACGATACGAAAAAACGTATCGATATATTTATCATCAAATAAAGTATCACGATTATCGATACTACGATATATCGTCACAGCTCTAGTTAGTACCAACCCTTTATCTACCCAGTGTCACATTTCCATACAAAATATGCAATCATGAACAAGCTGTTATGATACGATCATGCTGCACCTATTACACTTAAATACACGAATGCAACTTTCCCTTTTGAAATATGATATGTTATACTTCAAATATGTCTTCAAGAGCAGAAACAGAATGAAATGAAATGTGAATCTTTTGTTAAAATGATCCTATACTATTCCATATGCACTCCATATGTATGAGCCTATGTATATGAGTCTTTCATAAATACACATTTGAATGTATCTCACTGTAAGAATCGCAATACCACTTTATGTTTAATTTAACATAATTCATATGTATTATATCCCGTGGGTGATTTTATCATAATTGTGTCTCATCACACATTCCACTAATCGGTCGCACCATCCTTGGAATCAATATGCAATTAATATGAACTGTGAGAACCACACGCCCCAACCTTTTCCCTATATCTTAAAGGAGCATCTCCGGTGCCTATGACACTCACGTTTAACGAGGAACATCGCAAGGTCAACTGGAGTAGGCTGTATACACACGTGCGGCTGCCAGTAGGGCAAGGAGGTTATCCATCTTACCACCAAATCTTATTGCAGCCTCCGGCGAGGCTTGATAACGTTGCCTACAGGCAATAGCAATAATGTCAATCTGAGAAGATACCTGTGTGTTTTAGTTTGCACATATGGCGTTTTGTACAGTGTTTATCTAACAAAACGTAAAGTCATTAAGACCTAGGAAGTTTTAAAGTAGCAATCATATGATAATGACCCTAACAATAAAAGCTAACATTTGGTGCTTCTATTCTACCATTGGTCGTCTTAGAAGCTATCAATCCAGACAGTTACAAATGTCATAGTTAATAAAATGTCTACATGATGGATTTGGGGATATTTTGGGATCGTCAGTTAAGACCAGAAAATATTACAACACTCCGCCATCAAATTGAAATCGCCAAGTAGCAATATGTATTACGATGATTTAATGTTGCTTCAAGACAGTATAAGTATTATTGATGACGTAAATAGGTTGTTGTATGAGCTCGTAGAAGTTCTAAATTGTACCGCCATCACCAAAGTACCTGACAAGGTCTAGCAAAGCTGGTAGATATACATCATACAATCATCGCTCACGAAGACGTGAGTATTATAGATTCTGACCAAATGCATGCTTATCCCAACCTCGCACAGCGGTTGTTATCGACCAGGAAGAACATGCTCGCCCATTTAGAACACCTG